AGCTACTTGTGCCATCGGTTTATTTCACTCAGCTGAATAGTCTAATAATATTTTCATTAAATATTTATATGAACAATCAAACACTGTAAATGAAGAGCATATCCCTTGACATTCAAGATGGTTTCCAGGCTGATATCAGCAGTTTGTTATGTAGGTAGGGCTCATTTGCTATGGCTTAGAATTATGTTTTCCATTAGCTTTGAGTATCATATGTCTGACCTTAGAATAAAGGCTATTCATCATGTCTTCTAATTCCTAAATTTTATTTCTTCATTTAGAAAGTACTGACAGTAGAAAATTAAGTGCATTTAAAAGTTGGGGTTATGTTTACTAATTCAGCCAAGGAAACTGATGAACACAGCTCATTTTTTAAAGCATTGGAAAATATATTCTTTGCTGTTATATGTTTAATACCATCCTGTTCATCTCACTTAATTTATATTTCCATTAAGTAAAGGTGAACCTAATATTTGACTTCAGCTTTATATGTGATTTTTCAATTTATGAATGCATGATAGCACAGTGACTGAAATTTAATTGTCACATTTAATTTTAAATCCTGCAAGGGTAGTCACATGCTAAGTCTGTACGTTTCTCCTCCTGAAATACTTGTCTTACTTTCATGGCTATTTGAGATCACTGGAAGTTAATATCAAAATGATCCTGTACATTATCTAGATTATAAATCTAGAAATTAGATTCATATCACAAATTTCAAATAAATACAAAACTTCTTGGGTTGCCAATTTAAATGCTAAGAAGAAGTTACAACTAAAACTTAAAAAGGTAAAAATTATTAGCTTCAACATCTTACGGAAAAACCTGAACAAACCTTTTGGCCACCCCGACACAAACAGGGATGTACAAAAAAAGTTTTATTTGAAGCAAATTAAATATGACTTATTTGCATCTTTTGTGATTAATGGGAAATTTAATTTAGATTATTATAGGGCTAATCCATACGCAGCTCGGGGCCATGTGAAGGCACTGAACGTCCTTCACATCAGTGCTCTCTGTTTGCTGATATGGAACACCATCCATAACTGCACAGCTTCTATAGTCTGATTGTTCCACTATTTCTATGATATATTTGGGTGTAGGGCATATATTTGATAAGGACAAAAACCCTGATGTCTACCATCAAGCCTCTCAGTCACAGTAAATAGGCAATATCCTCCAACTTCTCCGGGATATTGCAAGAGCCTGACTTATTATCCCCACTTGTTCTGGAAACCATAGACCTTAGACCAAGCCCGCTCTTCCCTATAATAATGTTTCCAATTCCCACCTCTTAGTCACTAATTCATCATGTTCCATATATTTCTTGAGAACACAGCATAATGTCCTCAATCAGTTTTGTCTTAGAATAGTTCGAGTGACCGCATAATTCGTCATCCAAACCAGAGCATTTTGGGGGTAAGAGGTATTAATAATCATGAGAAGGCAACAAATACAGCTGGCTGTCTTAGATTAGGCTCCCCAGAAGCAGACTCTGGTTTATATTAAAGTGATTTCTTAGGATGTATTCCCAGGAAAACCTGGTAGAGGAGTGGGGAAGCAGAGCTGTGATGGGAAAGAGGCCTAGCAAGAATGCTGCACCAGTGAAGTCCCGTGGTAGTGCACTTACCAGATAAAGCACAAGACATCCAGTCACAATGGATTTTAAATTAAACAATAATTAATTTTTTATGGTATAAGTATGTTCCAAACATCGCGTGGGACATACGTATACCAAAAAACAATTCCTTGCTGGCTGTCCTGTTTTTTATTTGCTAAATTTGGCAAACCTACCCAAGAGGTCCTTGGAGAGTGAAAGAATATGGATCACACCTGGGAGGGCCACGGGACAAGAAAGTATATTTAAACCTCCATATCCATCAGTCACTGGTGGAGCACAGCTCTGGACGAATATAAATTCCCAGGCAATTGCACCTTTCTGGGTACTCAGGCAAAGGAGATCGATCATAGGAGTCTGAGGGCAGAAGTTCCACAAAGAGACACAAGTGCTAGCTGTTGGCACAGAAGCCACACTGGGAGCTTCCATTTGCAAAGATGGGAAAAAAGAGATCTGAGGGGGTATGGGCAGAGCACTGACAGCATCATATTATCCCAGGAAAACTGACATGTGTGGTCGTCCTGACAATAGCTAGTGATCTATGCTTAGGGCTTGAAAGCGCTCCTGAGACTAAGAAGAAGAAACACTTTTTTGGAATTGGATGGTAATGGGGCTCTTCCAGAACACTGGAAAAAATAGTATACCCTCCCAAACATCCACAATTTTACATCTCAATGAATTACCATGCCATCAAAATTAACTGGGACATACACTCTCCATTTTGTAGATAATGCAAGTGAATTTATTCCCTAAAGATTATTTTAACTTAACAGAAATTAAAAGGTCATGAAATGAAGCTTCTTGCTTTATTTTCGGACAAATTTAGCCATTTATGATAGATTATCATCCTATAAGTAGAACTAACATGCACATTACTTAAACACTACCTGAAGATTAATTGGAGCTTCATGTGGTAGGGAAGGCAATGGCTCCCCCAACTAAGAGTAAAAAAACTCAGAGTATGAGACATAACTTGGAATAACCTTCCATTTCTTTTCAGGTTCTTCTGGTAATTCCATATCCTGAACTTAATGTATAGGCCTCCTAGGTAATTAGGTTGCTAATTACTATTGGAGTTTCCTCTGACCCTAAGGAATTGTACAGTTAAATTTATTCTAAAAGTTAACTACAGTTTTCTGACTCCTTGGGGGTGAGTCAAGAAGTAAGATAATGAAAATTTGCTTCCAGGTTCAGAAGAAGGCCTTCTCCTATAATATATAATGCCTGATTATTCCACATAAAAACATCACTCATGGGCTTCCCTGGTGGCGCAGTGGTTGAGAGTCCGCCTGCTGATGCAGGGGACACGGGTTCGTGTCCCGGTCCGGGAAGATCCCACATGCCTCGGAGCGGCTGGGCCCGTGAGCCATGGCCGCTGAGCCTGCACGTCCGGAGCCTGTGCTCCGCAACGGGAGAGGCCACAACAGTGAGAGGCCCGCGTACCTCAAAAAAAAATAAAACATCACTCTTTTACATAGATAATTTACAGTTTCTATCCTACCACTGAACTCGGCTATCAATTAGCTTGTTGAATCTGTTAATGCATGCATGTAAATATGCATGTAGTGTATAATGGTACATGGAATAGTAAGTGGTACGATAATTAGATTGATATCCTTGAGACATTGCCTAATAGAACTACCTAACCCATCAGGATGCATCTTTCTTTTAGGAAATATGAAAGGTAACTTTCAGTCCAGAGCTCTAATTAGGGTATATACTTTCTGGGGAGCCAGAATGTATAGATCCTCCTCTCTTCATAGCCATGAGACCAAAGGTATGTTTGTCATTGCAGGATACTGAATGTTCTTACAGAGAAAAAGTATGTGATGAGTGGTTCCTTGAGGAGATAAAACCCAAAAAAACCCTCCGCAACCCATGATTTATTTGATTATATCCACGTTTTTTAGCTTAGCCTGCAAGGTCCATCTTGACCTGGCTCCCGCCTTTTCCTGACCTCACGTTCCAGTGGTCCCTTTTTAAACACACACCATTACAGCATACCCCAAATTAACATTATATCTTCCCTTTGCTAAAACTGCTCCATCTCACTGAATGTGCTCACTACATCCCTGCCTCACATCCCCTGGCTAACAGCTACTCATCCTTTAATACTCCATTCAGGAAACACACTTCAGGAAGTCTTCTCTGTTCTTTCCCAGACTTGGTTAGGTATTTCATCTATTCTCCCATAATGTATAGTGCATATACTATCTTCACAACCTGAGGCATTGGTGTACTTTACCTACGTATGCATCCCTTTCCCTGGAGAGGAAAATATTTGAGCAGAAGATGAGATCCAACTTTCTCTGCATTCTCTAAATTTAGCAGAATATCCAGGACACATAGGAGGGTTTCAATAATAGTTTATGGAATGGATGAATGAATTAATTAATCGCATACTCTGGCTTACTACTGAAGCTGAGAATAAATAACCATGAGCTGAGGACAAGAAAATGTCAAGCCTTCAGTTTAAATACAGCTCTATTTCATTCTAAGTTGATTCTTAAATAAGGCTATAATGCAGATAATTGTTAGCTGGTAGATTTACGGTAAAAGTATTAATATCATCGTTAAATTAAAACATGAAATTCACTATAGAGATTTTTTATCAGTCTACCATTAAAAAGAGAATATTATATACAACTTTTTACATCCTATTTTAATCATTTTTCATATTCATACATATTAAACATATGCATATACATACGAAAGCAAATGAATGATTATAGTAATATTACTATGAGAATAAAATAATCATTCATGTCTACTTGTCTCCATCACCTTATGTCTTAAGAGCTAAAGGAGACAGGATTAACTTAACTTCTTTAATTTAAGATTTAAAGGAGACAATTGATTAGCTCTGTTAAAATCAATTAACAATGATATTTAGAATGTCAGAGTAAATTCAAACACTCTGATCTTACGTTTTTCAAATCCCATGAGAAGAAAATTTCATTTAGTCTAAGCAGAAAAAGTAGAGGTTGCCTAAGACCAATAAACTTAGATCTGGATTCTAGGAATCAAGGACTGCGCGCCTATCATCAAAGCATTAGACTATTATTCTCTCTTACTATTGAATTAGAAACTGGTAATTGTCATTTTGCACATAAATTAAATTCTTTGAGGCACATTAGATGATACTCTAACATTTAAATAATGCTTTTTATCTTTGACATAATTTATAGACATGAATTAAGTAATCTTCCAAAGAGGCTATTTGAAAATTTTATCTCCCTTGAAAGTGATTATGGTTAAAATTTCCACTTAGTGGCATTGTATATAATTGTGCAACCATTACACTTCACAGCTAAACTAATCCATCATTTTTTCCCCCAGTTACCATTTACTCTGATACTAAGTGAGATAAGCATTAGATACTTACATAGTAATTTTATCAGGAACCTGGATCAGTGGACAGTTTTATCCTTCATATCTAGTTCTTGTGCTTCTGGGGGAATTCCCAGTGATGCCGTTCTATTCCTTGAAAATAAAGTAGACAATGGTCTTTAATACCATTCTTTAACAGGAAAAAATGTTCACCGTTAACAATATCACATGGGTACCATATTATTAATGAAATGAAAGGAAGAACTGCGTTATATGTTATCTTTTCAGTTGCACTGGATGAACAGAGACACACTCAGGCAAAATGCAAATAATGGGGATTTATTATGAGGGTATACTGGAAAATAGGAAAGAAGAAGAAACATTTTTGTGAGCGTCACATTAAAAATTCCCTCAAAGAAAGATACAAATGGCTTTTTTTGTACTCTTGTCATATCCCTACACTAAGCCATAGGCTACTAGCTCTTTGATCAGTCAGCTGGTTATAGACCAATCAAATGTTGGCCAGAAAGGCAGGGTAGCATGGTACAAAGTATGGCAATCTTTGTATAAAGATTTTCTCACCAGAGAGCTGAATAACCATCAAATCTTTAGCAAATGTCCAAAGAGGACAAAATAAGTAACAGGCATCTGAGGTTTATCAGAAGAAAGGCAATACAACTATCAGTGAAGATGAAACTTCAGAGTTTTTTCCAGTACAAAAATCATAATTTATGGAACACTATGTAAGATGTGCATTACATATATCAATTATTTTATTTAATCATCATAACAACACTGGAAGGTAGATATTGCTAACCTCACATTACAGATAAGACCCCCAAATTTAAGGAACTTGATCAAGTTCACACAACTAGTATTAGAACTAGAATATCAACTGAGGTTTCGCCGATATTAAATCTAATTCTTTCCTCAATGGTACCATACTGACTTTCACAGGAATTATTATAAAATCAATTAATGGTTATGGGTTGAACCTCATGCTGATTAGTCATATGCAACAATCTCTCATTCTTATTAACTTGGAGCATATTAAAGTGGGATATATTCTTCTACTATTTGGGAGAGGGTGGAACAAAGTTTACACATTCATGGATATGAAAGAAATAATTATTTTTCTTTGGCTCAGAACTAATGGGAGGCAAGTCAGGTGCACTCAGCAAAGACAAGATCATTAGAAATAGAGTCGAGGAATACCTTGTCCTTTGTCCTCTGTCTCCCAGGCTGGTGCTTCTTTTTTTTTTTTTTTTTTTGCGGTACGCGGGCTTCTCACTGCACAGAGTCCACCTGCTCATGCAGGTCCGTGCCCCGGTCAGGGAAGATCCCACATGCCGCGCAGCGGCTGGGCCCGTGAGCCATGGCCGCTGAGCCTGCGCGTCCGGAGCCTGTGCTCCGCAACGGGAGAGGCCACAATAGTGAGAGGCCCGCGTACCGCAAAAAAAAAAAAAAAAAAG